AATAATATTCTAAATCTATCTTCATCCGTCCTGATTTCTATCCGACAGATCAAGAATCGGTTTCCCACCCACCAAGATCCTAGGATAACCCTACATGGTTCAAACATTATTCTCGCGGAATTTAGCATCTATTGAAGGAACAGTAGAAAAATGGTATTTGAGACTAAAAGCGCACTGCGGAGCAGGAATAAAGTAAACCGATAAATAACTTCTAGTCTACTTTTTTTGACACTGAATTTGTATAAACTTCTGAAAAAACTATTGTGGTTTATTTTTTCATTGTCGTTTCTTACAGTTGATAGTTCTTACGACCTTTTCAAAATAACAGGTTATCTTTGGGATAATTTAAGCCACCGAAAAGCAATTTCCTTGACTAGCTGACTTTCTGCTGTAAACAGCAGAGGTGTTAGAAGGACAAGGGAGTACTGAAACCCTGAGCTAGGACTGATGACACGAGTACTGAACCCTGAGCTATGACTGATGAAGAAAGTACTGAACCCTGAGCTAGGACCGATGAAGTGAGTACTGAACCCTGAGCTAAGACTTTTGTGAGTACTAAACCCTGAGCCTTGACTGATTCAGGGAGTAATAAACCCTGAGCTAGGACTAATGAAGGGAGAACTGAATCCTGAGCTAGGGCAGATGAAAGGAGTAATGAACCCTGAGATAGCTGACTTTCTGCTGTAAACAGCAGAGGTGTTAGAAGGACAAGGGAGTACTGAAACCCTGAGCTAGGACTGATGAAGGGAGTACTGAACCCTGAGCTATGACTGATTAAGGGAGTTCTGAACCCAGAGCTAGGACTGATGTGAGTTTTAAACCCTGAGCTATGACTGATTAAGGGAGTTCTGAACCCTGAGCTAGGACTAATGTAAGTACTAAACCCTGAGCTAGGACTGATTAAGGGAGTAATGAACCCTGAGCTAGTACTGATGACGTGAGTACTGAACCCCGAGCTAGGACTGATGAAGGGAGTACTGAAACCCTGAGCTAAGACTTTTGCGAGTACTAAACCCTGAGCTAGGACTGATTAAGGGAGTAATAAACTCTGAGTTAGGACTGATTAAGGGAGAACTGAATCCTGAGCTAGGGCTGATGAAAGGAGTACTGAACCCTGAGTTAGGACTGATGAAAGGAGTACTGAACCCTGAGCTAGGACTGATGAAAGGAGTACTGAACCCTGAGCTAGGACTGATTAAGGGAGTACTGAACCCTGAGCTAGGACTGATTAAGGGAGTAATAAACCCTGAGCTTAGCTTCTAATGAAGGGAGAACTGAATCATGAGCTAGGGCTGATGAAAGGAGTACTGAACCCTGAGCTAGGACTGATTAAGGGAGTGCTGAACCCTGAGCTAGGACTGATTAAGGGAGTACTGAACCCTGAGCAATGACTGATGAAGGGAGTACTGAACCCTGAGCTATAGGACTGATGAATATCCTGGAGATGAGCAGAAAAGATACTGATTAGGGTTCTCAGGGAGAGACCTTCAAACCCTAATCACGCATAAAGAGAAATATGTTTGTCAATTTCTCATTTAAAGCCAGGCGTTTCAAAACATATTAACCCCGCCACTCCCCCNCCCCCCCCCACTCATATCTAAAAGTAAGAGTCTGCAGTATTTATGGTTAGGTATGTAGTGCAAAAATAAATGACATAACGATTAATAATGTTCAGATGAGAGAAGATAAGAAAACAAATGTTCTTGATAAAGCAAATAAAACTGAAAGGTCGATAGAAGAAAGAATAAAATGATGTAGATGCAAGCGTAAAGATTTAAAAGCAAACAGAAAGAAAAAAGAAAAATTCATAAACATTTATAAATATATAGATATGTAGGTAATTTCCTAGTATACGATTTTTGGACCCCCCCTCCTATCAATTTTGTACATGGGTCTGACAGGAAGTGTCTTAACTTAACCTAACCCGTGGCCGCAGCGCTCGGCCCCCTAGCCCATCCAAAGGATACCTGGTTCATACCAAGGTTATGGACCAACGCATATAAAATATAAACTTAAATGGACATAAAAGGTTATCTATTAATAGATTCATGTTAAAACATGTCATTGGAGTAAACAAAACCACATTTTCACAAACGATAAATGATCCATGTATATTGTAAATTGTATACCACATATATACTAGTACTTTAATATATTAGATGCTTAAGAGAAATATGTTTGATATGCAAAACTAATTCAAGGCGGGATTGGTTAACGTCTGGGGGGAGGGTGTTAGGGGGACGAGCGATATATACACTCTGGGTGGGCGAAAGAAGTAGAATCCTTGTAAACCTTCATCTCTTAATACATATATATTTTAGATCTACAAAAACCAGGATTAAAATGAGTACCCGGCTGCCTGAAAAAATACAAAAAAGAAGTTACATATAATCATTTCCAATTGAAAGAACACGAAGCATGATCTAAGGTTGAGATCTAGAGGTAATCTTTTTATCTTATACAATTCTCACACATCACCTTCTCCTGGATAGATTAATATATATCGTTGAGACATTCTTGCGATACACGATACAAAAAGAAATATTCGATCTTGGATAAAAATGAAGAAATTGGATAAACAGGAAGCAGAAACAATGTAGAGTGGCTGGCACATCAAAAGAATTCGAAAGTTCGGTTGGGGGGAATCAGAGAAACTTGAGACATTAGAAGAGCAAGAAGAATGGGAAATCCTGGATGATCAAGAAAAAGCGGAGGGCCCGGAGAAATCAGAGAAAACTGGGGGGCCAAGAAGATTTAGAGAAACTGGGGGACATATACGTCATAGAGAATCAAGAGGAACTGGAGAACCTAGAGGATCCAGAGAAACTGGTGGTTCTTCTGTAGGAATCGGGTGAACTTGAGAGCCTGGAGGGCGTAGAGGATCTAGAGAAACTAGAGAAGATAGAGGATCTAGAGAAACTAGAGAAGATAGAGGATCCAGAGAAACTGGTGGTTCTTCTGTAGGAATCGGGTGAACTTGAGAGCCTGGAGGGCGTAAAGGATCTAGAGAAACTAGAGAAGAAAGAGGACCCAGAGAAGATAACGAATCCAGAGGTACTTGAGGGCATGGAGGATCCAGAGAAACTAGGAAGCTTGGAGAATATAAAATACTGGAGGGTCGGGAGGATCCAGAGAAACTGGAGAGATTGGATAATATAAAATACTGGAGGGTCGGGAGGATCCAGAGAAACTGGAGAGATTGGATAATATAAAATACTGGAGGGTCGGGAGGAACCAGAGAAACTGGAAAGCCTGGAAGCATCAGAAAATTATCCTTGAAACACGTGCTTTTACAGGTTTGTTATCCCCATATCCAGATATATAAATTAGCATGAAGGGATAAAAAGGTTAAACCAATGGTCTTGTACCAGCAAAACTTTAAAGACGGCCCGGTAGTATTAGCTTGTGAATTCATAAATATACAGATTTCAGTTAACATCGAAGATCAGAGGAACTGCATGGTGAGATTAACCACGGAGAAACTGGAGTAATTGGCGGGGAAATTTGAAACAAAGAAACTGTGGAGGAGCTGAAGGAGATAAAGGAACTGCAGGGGTGAAAGAAACCATGGAGATATAGGAGAAACCAGAGTAATTGGAGGAACAAAAAGAAACTTGAGGAGCTAGGAGAATTAGATGAATTGCAGGGTGAGAGAAACCATAAGAATGTAGAAGAAACTAGAGTTATTGGAGGAACAAGTGGAACCAAAGAAGCTTGAGGAGCTGGGAGAATGAGAGGAACTGCAGGGTGAGAGAAACCATGGAATACCGTAGGAGAGGAAAGAAACCAAAAGAAACTGAAAGTTCAGGAGGAATTAAGGAAACTGGAGGGTCAGGAGGAATTAAGGAAACTGGAGGGTCAGGAGGAACTAAGGAAAATTGAGGGTCAGGAGGAATTAGGAAACTGGAGGGTCAGGAGGAAGTAAGGAAACTGGAGGGTCAGGAGGAACTAAGGAAACTGGAGGGTCAGGAGGAATTAAGGAAACCGGAGGAGCTGGAGGAATTAGGGTAACTGGAGGGTCAGGAGGAACTAAGGAAACTGGAGGGTCAGGAGGAATTAAGGAAACTAATGGAGCTGGAGGAATCAGAGGAAATGAAGGGTAGATTAAAGCAGAAAAACTGAAGATACCAGATCTTAGGAACTGATGTGAGTAGCAGAACCAGAAAATATGCAAGGGCTAGATCTGTGGGCTATGGAGAAAAAAGAAAGCCTCTAGAATGTAGGGACTCGATGAACCCTAGGGGCCAGGAGGGCATCATGTGATTAATAAGGAATTTGGAGGGGTTGAATAAAATAGCTGCATAATCGAAAAACAAGATCTTGAAAAAATTAATGAAATTAATTGGCTAGAAGAGCTGAAAAAAAGTAAAACGGAGAGGAAGATTTTTTGTTTTTTTTTGGGGGGGGGGGGAGGGAATACAAGAGGTTTAGGAAGGAAACGAACTTGGAGAGATAGAGAAAATGGGAAAATTAGAACAAGAAGAAACGGGAACTGAATTTACTGTAAGAAATATAAGAGGAGGTTGAGGGGTTTCATAAACAGGATAGGTACTCTAGGTACAAGAAGATGCAAAGTTTGGGAAATCTGGAGAAAAGTTAAAGGTTTGAGGTTCCGAAGATGTGCGATTTGCGACGCGTACTGATGTAAGGAATTGGCAGGTTTGAAAAGTTTGAAAAGTCGAAAAAGTTCGAAAGATCTAATAATTTGGAAAGTTTTAAGGAGTTTAAAAGGTTTGAAACTGAGGAAAGATTAAGGGAAACATTTGACATAATAGAAGAGATTCGTTAGTTATTGGTGGAATTTTCAACGTTTAGGACTCTATCCAGATAACGAGCAGGATATCAAGTTCTGATTTAAAATCTTGACCATTTATCCGATTCATCATATCCAATATCATGAAAACTACTGAGCCAAAAACTGCCCGTGAAACGTGTATTTTGTGTAATCCTACGTATTCTATAATGCGCGCTCTGTGCATGATAAGAACCAATTTGGTTACCTTTAGCTAACAAACTGATGATAAAAGGCACCAAACCAAATTAATTGTAAAAATTTCTCTTGGTCAGTTCTCCATATTTATATAATCACTTTCATTAACTGCATCCTGCACTCCGAGTTAAAACTGAACCCGGAGCAAGAATTAGATTCACTTAACTAAGTATTAGAGACCCTGAGGTTGATTTGATTAGTGTTCTCACATCTGTGGAATGATAAGGGTGGGAGGTGGCTAGAAACTATTTCCCTCTAGGTGTGTATTGTGTATGTCTGCAATGTGCAGTGTATGGTTCGGAAGTATGGTCTGCCTGCAGGCCAACAATAGAACCAGATTGGAAACCTGATCCAGGTCCTTCGTAACACAGGGAATACGATATAAATCCGTAAACCTGGGTAATCACAATATTTACACGGATCTCGATCCTCAGATATATGTCACTGTACACTACGGCTCCATGTACAAAAGTAGTAGGGAGTTTAAATAGACTAGCCGGATCCTTGCTCACATAGGCTCAATGTAGTACTGAGAGCTGAGCTAAGAGCTCTGAAATAAACGCGAGCCTGCCTCGCGCACACTTACTGCTCTCTGCTCACACTCACGCACAGAGAGAACTCAAAGGAAAACAGTTCTAACCTGGAAACTTATTAAAATACCGCCGGTTTATTTTAATTCATATTTTACGGAGCTAATTGAGCAGTTGTGTGGCTAATAGCAAACATTTTACGCATTCTAATAGAAATCTGAACAGGATGGACTTGACAGACTTGACAGGACCGTTTGTAATTATTGGGTAGGAGAGGGGGGCGGGGGTAATTAATATCAGGTCAAAAATATTTGAATTTTTACTCTTATTTTCATTTTGTTTAAAACTTATTTCCTTCATTTTGTATGTTTCTGCTCGGGTTCCTTACATATTGTATGTATCTTCTTGGGTTCCCTATATTTTGTAAATATCTGCTTGGGTTCCCTATATTTTGTATGTTTCAGCTCAAGTTCCCTATATTTTGTATGTTTCAGCTCGGGTTCCTAATATTTTGTATGTTTCTGCTTAGGTTCCCTATATTTTGTATGTTTCAGCTCAAGTTCCCTATAATTTGTATGTTTCAGCTCGGGTTCCTAATATTTTGTATGATTCAGCTCAAGTTCCCTATATTTTGTATGTTTCAGCTCGGGTTCCCTAAATTTTGTATGTTTCAGCTCGGGTTCCTAATATTTTGTATGTTTCAGCTCAAGTTCCCTATATTTTGTATGTTTCAGCTCGGGTTCCCTATATTTTGTATGTTTCAGCTCGGGTTTCCTATATTTTGTATGTATCTAGCTTCTCGGGTTCCCTATATTTTGTATGTTTCTGCTCGGGTTCCATATATTTGGTATGTTTCCGCTCGAGTTCCCAATTTACTGTATGTTTCTGCTCGAGTTCCCTATATTTTGTAGTTTCTGCTCTTGGTCCCTATACTTTGTATGTATTCGCACGTTTTTTTTGCAGATTCTCTTCACTTAGAGATATTTACTGTGGTGTGATCCTTTATTAAATATTTAAACCTCTTCTTCAGATCCTTCCTTTGATGTGGGTTTCCTGTTCCAAGCATCTGAATCATTTACTTGTTCTTTAGCCAATTCTTTAACCGAGGAGCTCAATATTGAAGAGATGGGAAGGGGGGGTAGGACTTACTTCAAGAAGCTTCCTGAGAAAAATTTATTAACAATGAATCAAGATCCAGGGAGTAAGGAATAGAAGGGAGATAAAACTAACGTGGTTCTCCCTACCATATGATTACATGCTTTGCAGACGGTACTTCGTTTGAATAAGAAATATTGGTCCGATGTACATTTACTGCGTATACAATAACCTATTCTGAATATTTCTTATACAAATGGAGTACCCGTCTGCAAAGCATGTATAATCATATGGCAGGGCGAACCGTGCCAGTTCTATCTCCCTTCTATCCCTTACTCCCTGTTAAGATTCCATGAGTATGTTTGAAATTCGTCTTTAATTTTGTCGATTACAAAAACCTAAGGGTTTTAAAATTCAACTTTCCTCTAGAATGTTGTGATAAAATACTGAAAATTAACACAATTTAATAATTTTTTTATGCATTGAAACCATATTATAATGATATCACTTGTTTTGATTAACGAATGCTGCATGCATACAAGTGAAATGTGATCGAATGTTGCTGGTTGTAAATTTTAATCTTTATCTTAAACCAATTCCAACATGATTTATTTTGTACATTTTAAAATATTGTATAGGTGTGAACTTCTAGCAATGCCAACTCCATTTTTTCTCCTTATACAGGGTTTTCCACTAAGGATGAGACTGTGAAGATGACCCTAAACTCTAAAAATATGGCGGTTTGAAGCTTGGTTTTTGGTTTCTGAATTCGATTTAGCATTGTGATGGTTTACTGAATGATTAAGCATAGAATAATGCCAGTTTTGGCCTACAAGGACAACAAGGAACCCTGAATGCAAGAAAACGGACTAAACAATTCTGTTAAATCGTACAAAATAAAATCCGTCTAATCGTCTCTGAAGTCTCGTCCTTTGTGGATAATCCTGTAGCTACAAAGTTACCCACAAAGGATCAGACTTAAAGGACGACCTGAAACTCTTCACATATGACAAATGACGATGTCAAGGTTTTATTTCTTTGTTTACCTTGAATATTTTGAGTTTATAAAAGTTAGAGGATTACTTATAAAGGATGAGACTTCAGAGACGACTGGACGGATTTTATTTTGTTTAAGCTTAACCTGGAAACCAATTTTCCCTTAACAGTCGACCTGGTCATGACTTAGAATAGCGTAACTCAGCTGAGAACATTCCCGTGATTCTACCGAGTTCTCCAATCAACATTAGAGGCAAATCGGTAAAGTGGTTCTAAGTTATGATCCGACACAGAGATTACTACTTTATACATTTAATTATTTTCTTAAATTGACGATTTAGCTTTAAACTTGTTGCTTTCCTTGCCAAATCATTTAGAAAGACTATGAAACCCAAGGATCAAATTATAAGAATAAAGATCGACAATATACACAAGTTGCAGGAATCATTACTAAAAGTCTCATTCTTTGTGGTTATCCCTGCACATTAGAAATCTAGCAAAAAATTTAAAAAGTGCAAAGCTACGGGTAACCATTAATATCAGATAATAAATTCTCTGTTCTGTTTCACCCTCCATGGTTAATCCATATATGTATAATGTATATGTATGTATCTATATATCTATATCAATTCGGGCGCTATATCATTTACCCTACAAATCATAAAATATATAAATATATATCTGTTACATTCTATTTATATTGAACAGTTGAATATATTTACTAAGGGTAAAACAGCAAATTGTTTTTTGAGAGACAGCACATTATTTAGCATTTAATAGGCCTCAGCTCTCGGCCCCCAGCCCATCCTAGCCGCAGCGCTCGGCCCAGATATTGTCTAAACCAAATCTAAACCAAAACATGGTACAAGACAGCATATTATTTAACATTTAAAAGGCCGAAGCACTTGGCCCCCAAGCCCATCCTAGCCGCAGCGCTCGGTCCAAAATCTCTTAACCTAACCTAACCTTAAATAAGGTGAGATCACAACATATTATTTAACAAACCAAAAGAAATTAAATTGAATTGTAGGACAAATGGTGTATCTCTTTCTCTGTAGGACAACTGATGTGAAGAGCACAATCGAAATGTAGTTAAAATGAAGTGTAGGACAAAAATGATGTTGTCTCTTCTATGTAGGACAAATTATGTGTAAGACAAATTATGTGCAGGACAAATGAAGTTCTCCCCACCCTGTAGGACAAATGATGTGTAGGACAAATGATTTGTAGGACAAATGATGTGTAGGACAAATGATTTGTAGGACAAATGACAAAGTGCCCTCAAATCGTCGAAAACTAAGTTTGAAGACGACATTCAATTCGTGCTTAACATTGAGCTTAAAGCTTAAAGCACAAATACATCATTGTAAAGCAAATAAAAAATAGAGTACGTAGGTTTTAATGCAAAGGGTCCTCATAAAAACGGGAATTATAATCGTCTTTGAGTTTTGATGATTATTAAACTATAGATAAAACATTACTAAATGATAAAATCAAGGTTCATGCAAACAAATTGTGCGACTAATTGGCTTTCCAAAATGTTTTTTATCTGAAGAAATGACAGAGAGACAGCTTTTCTGGAATCGCATAATTGGGTAAATACGATTTTCATTTTTTTGCCATTGTTTCGACTTTTGAATACATGTACGGTTTCTCTTTAAAACGCTAGAATGTTTTCCTTCCCCTTTATTTCAAAAATAATGGTATTCGCTTGAATTCGAGCTTAAAGAAACTAAATCTGCAAAACTGTTTAAAAGAAAAATCTTCAAAAACTATTTAGATAGTTATGCAAGCTATATCTGTAAAAAAAAACTGTTTTTCATGTGGATAAACTTAGTCTTTGCTATCTTTTTCACCCTGTAATTCAAAAACATGATTCTAATATTGTATGTCACCCTAGGGGAGGAAGGCCAACCACATCAATCTCTAGTCCGAACCACATTCTCATCATTTTCTCGTCCGAACCACATCGAAATCCTCATCCTTTCAATATTATTTTTTTAAGTGTCCGATTCTTGAAAATAAATACATTTTTTAAAAAAAATGGAGACGTTAGGGCATAAAACATGACTAGAATAAAGTTTTCCAAGGATTTTGAGATGTTGGAATCTTCAAATCCACGAGAATGATGTCAAACATTATTTAGGTTAAAAATTGAATCTCTTCTGCCTCAAAAATGGATAACTTTCACAAATAAAAATTTATACCAAAGAATTCGCGTGAACATGGTCTTTAATCTTTTCATTTTAACCCATACAAAATAATCATTGATTTCTGATTTATTTACAAATAAGGTAGATTTGTTGTCCCCACTAAGAGATCACTTCTGCTTGCCGCATGCTTAAAATTATAGAAAAAAATAATGTTCAATTTATATTATTCAAATCATTTGCTACAAATAATTGGTCACAACCCTATAAATTCAAACAGTATTTAATCATATAAATAATTGTAAGTCATATCTCTAACCCAAATTCAGCTTGAATATTACAAAAAGTTGTTTACATCGAGTTTGAGAATGTTTTGCGGCATTTTCCGCTAAAGAAAGGGCTCTTAAACAGACGCTTTTTTGTAGAACATCGTTTATGGAGCATTTTCATTTTTACACAAATCTAAAATTTAATTGGGAAAATTTGATATTTCATCTATGCCCTAACGTCGCCATATTTTTAAAAAATGTATTTATTTTTTAAGGATCGGACACTTAAAAAAAATAATATTGAAAGGACGAGAATTTCGATGTGGTTCGGACGAGAAAATGATGAGAATGTGGTTCGGACTAGAGATTGATGTGGTTGGCCTTCCTTCCCTCGTCACCCTCTGTTACAACCCTTCCGCTGAGTACTCACCCTTTCCTTTATACTTTTTCACCCCCTCCTTACCTTATTCATGATTTATCATCATTTGTTTTGTTTAAAATGTACACTGTACAGTGTACATCCATCTATTTATTTACAATTCTTATTCGCTTATAATGGGCCAACCAATCAAAACAACCAACTCTGGTTAGGCGGGTCCAAACTACATAGTAAATTGTGATTTATTATTTGTATTATCTCTTGCTTTGTAGTTGAATAAAAATATGATGATGTTACTAATATAATTAAGTTTTTACTATGGAAA